GTCCCCCCCGGCCCCCCGCGCCCCGCGCTCGGCTCTCGCCACTTTCCTTATGAATGAGAAGCAACGTTCAGGGTCAGCGTTTTCAGCCTGCACTACCCCTCCAGAGACAGAGTTGGCACTACAGGTTACAATAACAAAAAAACAGGGGAGAAGGGACAGAAATAAGACAAAAAAATCCTTATTTACAGTAAAATCTTCTTTTTTAAAAAAGTTAATCAGTACTATTTTTTTACAGGAGCAAAAAAGTCTGAAACAAATGAACAAAAGCTTACCATATTCACTAAATTTTTAATATATATTTATATATATTTATATATATATATTTGTCATAGGTCTATAAGATCCATCTGTTCCTCCTACCCTAAGGAATGGCTAATGTCATCGCTTCAGTTTTCATTAGGACGTTTGCTGGTTTTGTAAATATCTGGGCAGCAAAGCTTCCCTTTTAATATCCAGTAAGTATAAACACTAGCTGTCTAGCACACCAACAAAAACGCTCATTTTTTTTTTTTTCTTCAGAAGTACACTTTTTTCATTATTGCAAGTTTACAATTTTAAATTAAATATTTTTTTTTTTTTTTTAAGATTTCAAAATTAATTTTTTTTTTTTTTTTTTCCAAAAGAAGTTTAGGCACAAATGCATTGTCCCACAGTGTGGAGAAGATTGCCATTCAGTCTCTAGGCTGTGCACTTACAGCTCGTAACATACTGCGTTAGACATTCTGCGTGATATGTTAAAGAGAGTCGTCCCTCAAGTTGCACTTTTTTGTTTGTTGGTTGGTTTTTTTTTTTTGTGGTTTTTTTTTTTTTTTTTTTTCTCGGTTTTAATAATCGGGAATGCTGAAATCTCTTGCGTCTGTGATTCTTAACTACTCAGACTTGTCTTATATTACAAAAAAGGGGTTAAGGAGAAGTGTTTATGTGGGTTTAAGATAATACAGCTGTTAAGGAAGTGGTCTCTTGCTTAAATGAAGAAATGTGGCAACTTGGACCTGCGGAAGAAGTAAAAAACCTCATCAGTGCTGGGGAGGCGAGCGTGCGTCCCGACGCCCTCCTCCTGCCCCCCCCTCCCAACCCCGCCTCGGGGACGCAGCCTCCTCGCGGGGCGACCCCAAAATCCGCTCCCAAGGGGGGGGCTGGCACGTGCGCCCCCGGGGACGGTCCGCCCCGGGATGGCAACCCCCGGGGGCGCGGGGGAGGGTGTTCCCGGGCCACAACCCCAACAAACTTGCCTTTTTTATCTGGTTTTTTTTTTGTTTTTGTTTTTTTTTTTACATCTGTCCCATGTGGTTGGAAGCGTCTCCCATCCCGGGGTGGGGTCCTGCCAGGGAAAGCGGAGGAGGATCTGAAGATACTTTCTCTTCTTCCCTTCTTTTCAGACACGCTGCTTTCGGGTTCAGATTCCTTTCTGTTGAGTTGAAGCAAAAGGCGATTTCAAATATTCACATTTTTCCACCAGGTGGGTCTGATCGTTGCAGAAAACGATTAATCGTCCGTTATGCGTTCCAGTCCCGCGGGGGGGATTTAGCGGGCTGAAGCGGAGGATGCGGCAAAACGCAGCACCACTCCAGGCACGAGCTCCGCAACCACCTGGGGGCTGGAGCTTTGCCAAGGGGCAGCCATGCTTAACCTTGCCTTTGGATCTCCCTCAAGACCGTAGAACGTTCCGAGGCCACCGAAGACGGTGGATCCCCGGTGGGTCCTCGGAGGTGCCCGGCTGGCTCCGGGTGCCAAGGTCTCGCCTCTCTCCCTGCCACCCGCTGCCCCCGGCCGGGCTTTCCCTAGTCTAGAACGGGATGTTCGGCACGGCCGAAGCCCGGGAGGGATGTAGGGGGCCACAAGAGGTGGCACACTGACCTCTGACTTGCTGCTCTAAGCTGAGGATGACGGCCACAGCCTGGTGTAAGATCAGGAGCTTGGTCTGGGGCTTGTCGCTCTTCAGATGGAGCTGCACCATCCGGCCCAACTCCTTGAAAGCCTCGTTGATGTCGCGGACGCGCAGGCGCTCCCGAGCGTTGTTGGCCATTCTCCTTTCCTTTTCCCTCTCGGCCTTCTGCTCCGGTGTCAGGTCTTCATCGTCGTTATTGCTGGGAGACAAAAGGAATACCTCATTTTCTAATGATGCGGAGAACAAGTCGCGCAAAGATTTGCAACAGACTTTGTCCAAAACCAGAGCTGCAAGTCACGAACAGACACCTTCTGGGCCGTTCTGATTTGCCGCTCCTCTTCCACCAAACCTACGCAAAATCCAGGCTCCTTACATTTTACGCTGTGCAAAGCTTTGGCTTGTCATGAAGCTTTACAATCTGCAAGGTGGGACTGCTGATATTTAAAAGAAGCAAATATAGAGCTTTTTTTTTTCTTTTTATTTTTTTTTTCAGTAACGTGTTTTATCACAGCCAATACTGCAACATTTTAAATCGTGGCAAATCCCCACTCAGCGGTAGCTTCCGAGCCAGAAAGCCAATGATGCATTTGCACGTCTCCCTTTCAGCAGACCATCGTTCGGGTTTTGGAAGAAACTTTCTCTGCTACTGAAGGTGAGGATTTGCCATCCTCCCGAGCAGCGGCGGTGGGGAGCCGTGGGCTGCACCCCAGTCCCTGCACGGAGCGCCCAAACACCTGCGGGCAGAGAGCCACGCGCATCATTTCTGGCTGTGAAGGGCCCTACGGTGAACTCCGGCATCCTTTCTGCAACAAAACGGCTTTCTATCCAGAGAAAATGAGGATTTTAAATGGAAAACGCATCCACCGGTGAGTCAGTGGCACTATATAATTTGAATTGGTTATGCAAATGGAGTAATAAATTTTCAGCAGCCCTAACAACATGGATTTAGACATATAACTAAATATCAGGAGTAACCTTTTAAAGCTGCAAGCACGTTAAAAGCAAAAATGTTAACCCACAAAAGCTTCAAAGCACATATAAATATGCATAAGCGACAGCATATTTGTTGAATTAACAAGAACTACGATCGCCTCCCATCAGCGTAAAGGTGCTTTCTTCTTACCATATCCTCACCGCACGGGAAAGCCTCACTTCTACATATGGTTACTTCAACACATTTATTCAGAGAAAATCTCTGAGCGTCATATATTTTCTCCAGTCATATGAGACGTGAAGGTAATTAACGTTTGAAACACCGGCGAGCGCCGGCCCGAGAGGTCCGAGTCTCGGCGTTCTCAGACGCTTCCCACCTCGGCTCGGATTTGACGGAGAGATCCGGGCGCGGAAGGAGAAAAGGCAGAAGGACGCTGCCGTTCGTCTTTAAACAAATCCCCCGCAACCGGCGGGGCTGCGCCTGGATTTCCGCTTTAGTGGGATTTTTTCGCTAGGCTGTCGCGTACCTGTCCTGCGCTGAGTCACCTCCGCCGCACCCACAGACGTTGGTGACGTTCGCCACGGGGAGGAGTTGCCAGCTGTTAAAATCCAGCTGCGACTTCGCTAATACTTTCCAAAAAATTTGCAAAGAATATGCCAAAACGAGTAAAGCGAAGACCCCTAAACCTACGGAGCCCTACAAGATTTACAGAAATTGAGGACCGGGAACGACAAATTCATTTCAGAGGTCAAAGAAAAGCCCACGGTTTGTTGGTTCGGTCACAGGTGTGTGTAAAGAGACACGTTTGGTACATTGGTAAAGAGAGGAAAATCCATACTGTATTCCAATTTGCAAGCGGAGGCAGAGAGGAATAACAGCCTAATTCATCGATTTTAGCGTAACGCAATTTCGTTGTAGATTGGGGAGAACTTGCTCAGTGTCCGAATTTGCGAATTGTTGGAATTTGAGGACGTCCTGGAGTACGGGTACCACAAAGGCGCTCGGTACTGCCAGAACAGCCAGGCCGTAACACTCAGGCTGTGGTTTTACCTGCCAGGAAAAAACCTCATAGTTTCCTCCTGTTCTGTTCACTTCATCGAAATCCAGTAAAGGAATTAAATGAAGCGACACTATTATATACTGTTACCTAGATCTTGACCTAGTAATTGATTTGATATCCTTCTTGTCATCCTCTAGTTTCTTGTCCTCAGAAGACTTTGTGTCCTGGAGGTTTTCGTCTCCCTCGTCGTCAGATTTGATTTCGGAGCTGCCCGAAGAGACGCTCTGCCCTTGCAGTCCGGTCGGCATGCCTGCGAGAAAACACACGGACGAGCGGTCACGCGGCGCCGAGGCCAACGCTCCGCGTCTGCATCCTCCGGCTCCGGCGTAAAAAAGAAATCTTTTAATATGCCATTCGCAAAAGAATCAAAATACCGCGGCTGCAGTGACTGAGCAGGACCTTGTGAGGCGTCGTAACACTTTAGGCTCTTTCTCCCACGCTTGAAGGGGAAGATCAGCTGCCTCTAGGAACAACGACATCCCCCCGACGGCCTCTGGGTTTGGTTACTCCAGGTCTGCTTTGTAACAGCCCCGCAGAGGAGTCCGCCAGGCTCAGGGCAGCGCAGCACCTCTTGGGAGCCACGGAGAGACACCCCGGTGCCGTCCTGCCCGTGGGCAGAACTCTAAAGGTGGTGCGAAAGCTGCGGGGCTGAGTCTCACCTTAAACTCCTTCTGATGCGTGTCCTGCACTGTTTTCTTGAACTTAAAACTTCTTTTCTTAAACAACTTCTTTTCCTTAAGCTCTTAAACAGCTTTTTGAAGTATGTCCTGCAGTGTTCTCTAATTTTTGCTGCTTAAAGCAGTCCTGCTATCAAAACTCACTCTCATTCTGATAACTGGAGAGTTTTGGAGTTCCAGGGAGCAGAGGCAAACGAGCGAACAGGCTCTGCCCCGCTGTCCCCGCCATGCCCTGCGCCGTGTTACAGCCCCCAACATCCCTGCCACCAGACGCGGGGACACCTCATCCCTCCAGGGTCGCTGCCGGCCCGGCCGCGTGTCTGGGGATGCTCCGTGCCGGGACGGGCAGGCGGTACTCACCCCTGTACGGGTCCCGGG